TCAAATACAAGATCATAACGTGCAGCAACTAATAATATATTAATACTTGCAAGAATAAGTATGTATGCAAAGTATATCGGGGGATGCATGCAGGGCGATAGTGCGGGTTCGAATCCCAGGTTTTGTGTAAAACAAAAAGTAGAAATTTATAAGATTTTATACCATCCCTATGCTTTTTTGTCTAGGTCATCAAGGCAAAAAAGCATAGTGTAGGGCCCTGAGCTTCCAAGCTCTCTCTTTTTCCTTCGTTGGTTATTCATCTAATTTCTTGAAATAGAAATGCACGTTATTTTTATCAGTCAAAATAAACGCTGTTGATTATCGCTCTACGCGCTTTCTCAACGACTGCTAAGAATGCTTTGTTGCTTTGGACACGCGTTGGTTCCATTCGTCCTGCGCATGCAACACAAACCGAAAACACGTTTTACATTTCGTTTTCATCGTGGTGTGTACCTTTTTTTCCTTCGGCTGGAACGTTGCATGTTATGGCTACATCCGGAAAGTGCGAAAAATGGTTCGAAAAGTCCTAGAGAACATCCATCGCAGGAAGAAGCTTTCCTGTGCAAATCTGTAGAGCGGTTTACGGGTGAAAGTTGCCCTCGCTCATAGGCAGGTCCGATATAAGGATTTTTTTACTGCATTACTAAGAGCGAAACCTCTCTAATGTGTCCTGCTGTCGTGGTGATAAGATGCAAATCCCTTCTTTAAAATTGCAGGGGAACTTCACCCACAAATCAAAACTTCATGGTCCGTAGAGTTTTGGACGCTGAGTCGAATTGAAGGTCCTACTTCGATCCAACCAAGAGTTCTTGAGATATATCAGTTTGAAATTGTCCTTTTCGGGTCCGTGCCGTGACGAAACTAATCAGTGACGTCATTGATACTTGACTTCCCTCATATGCGAATATATTTTGCATACTCGGTCAGTGCGTCCTTGAATATTTCCCTCCAGATTGGGAACTGCCAGCGATATTATGCCACTGCAAAATTCAGATTCAACCCTATGATCGAGGCAAGGAATGCAGGAAGCAATACCAGTGTCTTACTTGTAACATACCAATGTATAACGAACATGAGCATTTCGAAAACACATTAAAGCCTCAGCAGCAACATAAGCCTTACCGTCAAGAAGGTGAACTCGCGTTCTTCGCACACTGTGGGCAAGGGCAAGGAGATACAAATGGATCTAAATGCGAATACAATCAGCACACGTTTCCGTAAATGAGAGGGTGAGCATAAGCAAATGAATCAAATAGTAAAGGAAACTGGTCAACTCAGAGATCACCTGTCATTGAGGGGGCCTCGGCAGCGAAAAAGCTAAATTAAAAAAAAGAAGCTAAATTTAGAAAAGAGATCCTGTCACCTTTTCCAATATTTATTACATTACACCTAAAATCAGCACACTCAGTTTCGTAAAATGAAAGAGTCAACACAAGGAAATGAATCAAAGGAATCCGGTTAACTCACCTGTCATTGAGTAATTTAACCAGCCTCCCCGAATTCAAGCATTCTCTCTATCAGCATTTTCGCCGATATATTCATTACACTGGCGGTGTACCAACTCTGTAATTACCAGATTTTGTATGCCTCGATCTATTTCCTTAGCCTGTCCTTGATTAACTGTTCCCTCTACATGAAGTTGTCATTTCATTCTTCTTGCAGGAGATCCCCTTGACAGGCCCAAAGGCTTTGGGAAATCCTTAAATATAATAAAATACCAAAAAAATCTGTTACAGGAGGTCTCAGCAGCACCATCGAAATAAGCCAGTACAGGAGACAAAAGAATTCAAGCGCTTTGAAACACATTCTTGCAAGCTTTTAGCTTTACTCTCATGTTTCTGTAGCTGTGCTGGAACTGCTCTATTTCGCCTTCAAGTCAAGCGCTTTGCAACACATTCCTGCTTGCTTATAGCTTTACGCCCATGTTTCTGTAGCTGTGCTGGAACTGCTCTATTTCGTCGCCACTATTTACCATTAGCCATGTCCCCCTCCATCCTCCACCACCCTACACAGTGGGTCCATTGGTTTTAGGCGTCTGCCTGTTTTGGTTTCTCCACTATAAATAAAAGAATACTAAAATATCCGAAACGGCTCATGCAAGAGCAGTTCCAAAGAAAGAAGTTCCTCCTGCATGTACATCCGAAAAGGCTGCAACAAAATGTCTAACATGCACACTTACACGGCCGCGCCGGCCACGCGATGGTAGGAGCCATGGAGTACGGAGTAGCTCCATGGTCCAGGTACTTGTAGGTACCGATCACCTTACGTAGAAACTTACGTAGACAACGTGTCTTAATAGCGGTGTCGTTAAGTCTTACCTCGTGAACACAATAATAGAAAAGCTGACAGGATCGCTTTTCTAAATCAAGAAAACAAACACTGGGTGATCCTGAAAATGAGTAGCCCGTACCTTCCAATAGCTTGGCCAGTTCTTCATCCCGTCACATGTGAGTGCGAGTGTGCGGGTTGTTGTTGTTGTTGTTGTTGTTGTTGTTGTTGTTGTTGTTGTTGTTGTTGTTGTTGTTGTTGTTGTTGTTGTTGTTGTTGTTGTTGTTGTTGTTGTTGTTGTTGTTGTTGTTGTTGTTGTTGTTGTTGTTGTTGTTGTTGTTGTTGTTGTTGTTGTTGTTGTTGTTGTTGTTGTTGTTTTTGTTGTTTGTTGTTGTTGTTGTTGTTGTTGTTGTTGTTGTTGTTGTTGTTGTTGTTGTTGTTGTTGTTTTTGTTGTTTGTTGTTGTTGTTGTTGTTGTTGTTGTTGTTGTTCTTGTTGTTGTTGTTGTTGTTTTATTTTCCTTCATCAGATTTACAGGCAAAGATGCCTTCTCAGTGTGTGAGATGGAGTGCGAGTGTGCGTGCCAACTATAACTACATTGTACATCTGCACATGTACATTGTATTCTGGCTTTGGAGAGGAAAGTCTTGCGCATAACAACTTAGTACTCGCGAGGTTTGACTTTGGCGACTAAGAACGTTTCACTGACAGTCTCAACTGCTGTTATCGTTCAACATAATTATTGCGGAAGTCTTGCACATGAAAACTTAGTACTCGCGTGGTTTAACTTTGGCGACATATCACGATTCACTGACAGTACCAGTTGTTGATAGTTTTCAACTTAATTATTGAAATCCCCACACTCTGGGTTCACAGGGGTTTCTACCTACCAAAATTTATGCTATAAATGTTGAAGACAAGGATACTAACAGAATGAATTCTAAACACATAATCACGCTTGTGTTGAACCTAAATATACCAGGGGATAAGAAACCAACAGTGGGCGGATGCCATATTTTGCCACGATCAATCAATAGGTCACCTCTTTGCTGCATGTTGAACAAAGTCGTGTTCTGCTCTCAACCCCGACAGCGCACCTGTATTCACTCAGATAGTGCGACGCCAAGGTATAACAGCGACACGGGTTCAGAAACATTCAAAGACCCAACAACCACATGTTGCTTCAATACCGATGAAGCGCAAATCGGCAAACTTCCAACTTCAATTGCACAGAATGATGACGAGCAAAGTCAGACCAGAATTAATAAGACATACCGGTCTTACTGCAACTCGACCGTGCAGCGAAACACACCTCCCATCTTGGAAGTCTCAAAGGTATAACATGAGGGAAGCTAAGCGAAGACGAGTTGTTCGACACAGAAACGTCGTTTCCCTACTAAATGCAACTATTTGAATGGTGAATATCTCCAGCAGTGTAGCATCGAGGTTTCTTGGCACTATTCACTTCATGTGACACTCAGTCGGTGACCGAGGGGCGATGTGACACTTACGTTTTGCGTGGGCTCGAGTTATTGACATGAAGAACTCCAGGAACTGACAGATCTTCGACATGTCTGCGTCAGTGCCAGGCAAGGCAGTGAGAGCTTGCAGTCAGAGGGTGGATATAATGCTGAGCCCATACAGGCATTGTGATTGTATATACCGGTATCCATGAACTCTATAACTGTGACCTATTTCTTCTTCTTTAGTTGTCAGACAGACAAACGGATTGGTCTGGTAATAAAACCAAGAGTATTAACAGACCAATCCAGGTTGGCAAAGGTTGGCAGGTACGGTTTTTACTCATGATGTTAAACCAGTTTGTGACTACATGTCGTGGTCTCAGGGAGATGGCATCATATCGCATGGCAGACCAAACAGTTGACGGGATATCAAAATCCCCAGTGGCGCTGGATCAATCAGTTATTTTGTCAGACACTTGCATACAGCGCGATAGACACGGTGTGTCAGGCACTGGTGTGCAGCGCGAGAGATATGATGTGTCTCAAGCACTGGCGTGCAGCGCTGGCGGGGATGAGAGCAGAACACGACTGTGTGGAACATGCAGCAAAGAGGCGACCAATTGATTGATCTTGGCAAAATATGGCGTCCGCCCACTGTTGGCTTCTTATCCCCTGGTATATTTAGGTTGAAGACAAGCGTGATTATGTGTTTAGAATTCATTCTGTTAGTTTCCTTGTCTTCAACATTTATAGCATACATTTTGGTAGGTAGAAACCCCTGTGAACCCATAGTGTGGGGATTTCAATAATATAAAAGTTGAAAACTATCAACAATTGGGACTGTCAGTGAATCGTGATGATATGTCGCCAAAGTTAAACCACGCGAGTACTAAGTTTTCATGTGCAAGACTTCCGCAATAATTATGTTGAACGATAACAACAATTGAGACTGTCAGTGAAACGTTCTTAGTCGCCAAAGTCAAACCTCGCGAGTACTAAGTTGTTATGCGCAAGACTTTCCTGTCCAAAGCCAGAATACAATGTACATGTACAGCTGTACAGCTTATATTATGTAGTTATAGTTGGCACTCATACTCGCACTGAATCTCACAAGCACACTCGCACACGCATGGACTGGAGAACTGGCCTAGATCATGGAAGGTACATGTATTAGTATTACGCTACTACTTTTCAGGAACACCCAGTGCTTGTTTTCTTGATTTACTGTACATAGTATTCCCGCACATGATTCATCTCTCGAGGGAACAGTATTCAGCGAACTGCGCTCTGCTGGCATATTGGAGAGCAGGGATTGCGCTATAAAAGCACGCCTCGTTGCTTCACCTGTTGTCAGAATCCACGAGAAAGCCGATTGCTTGTGATTTCCTGCTTCTGTTACTTCAAGGTTAATATAAAGCATCATTGAGGACTGTGCATTACTACTAGGCTGATTACTGCAGAGTTCGCTGCAAGTTGTTTGTAATTTTTGTTGAAGTGCAAGAAATTCATAGCGCAGCGTATCCATATGACCACAAAGAACTGCCAAGCAGCAAACAGAAGATCACTGTTAAGTCATGTCGCCACAGGCCTTCTTGTCAACCATCCTGTTGCTACTGGCAACGGCGGTATTCAGCTTGGCCAATCCGTTACCAATGGCTGGCGGTGTGCAGTCAGCCGGTAAGTGAAATACTCCTTTACTTCTGTTCAAAAACATAATAATATCGTTATGTCCGTTGTGCTGAGAGCAATTTCTGCCATACTCAAATGTTTCAGTGGACAAGTGCGGGCATGGCAAAGTGTTCCTCAGTTGCTTGCAACATGTATCAATGTCTAAGAGTACAATACTCTCAGTCGCCGAAGAACCTGGGGGGGGGGGGTCAGCCTCCTAGCCTAGACCATTCTTGCATTCATAATTTTAACACAGTCTATGCAGAGTTGAGTCACCGTGTACACATTGGTATGCAGTGCCTGGTGGAATTTGAGGCTGGTCATTTTTCGGCGCCCGACAGTATTGTGTCTTTTTTCCCACCTTCCAACCCGGCAAATATTGAGATTTTGATAAAAACAATTCAAAGCCTCTTAATTTTTTTGTAATACTTCTAAATATAAGAATAATAATATATTTCTTTAACACAAAACGAGCTCGGTGCAGCACTAATCACGGGAGGGGAAACCGACCCTCCGCCATCGCCAACTCACGAAGCATTGACAGTATCGTGTCATTTTGTCGCCCGTTAACAGCCGCACACAAAAAAACAGCCAATCTCAATCCTGTACTACAAAAACACACGTAAATTTACGTGTAGTACAACAGGATTGAGATTGGCTGGTTTGTTGTGTGCGGCACTAACGTGCGACAAAAGGACACACAATACCGTCGGGCGCCGAACAATAACCAGCCTAAAATTCCACCAAGCACAGCATACCAACGTGAATCCTTCATTATTAGTCGCAATTCTTGGTGCCTGAGATGAATTCATGGTGAGATTTGGTGCGGTGCCCGTTGTTAGCAGTTTCTGTTCTTTTTTTCTTTGTTGCGTTGTGATAAAGGTAATGGCAGCTGCATGGTTCTTTGGATGCTCCAGTCCGGTGTAGAACTGGCGATGGCCGATAAGTACGAAGGCGTGTTCAAGACCATTGGAATGACGGAAACCAAGCTGGTGGAGCTGGACACAAGTGTGCTGGCTTTCCTGATGGGAATGACCGAGTCGCATGCCACTATGCTGAAGTCCTGCTTGAGTAAGAACAACAGCTAGAGTCAGGTTGCATGATACAGCATGATGCAGTACTGCTACATATCGGGAGAGGGGTTGGGATGGGATGAGAATACCAGTACTGTCCTCTGAGAATGCATCCATGTTTTGATTGTCCGGTGTCCGCAGAGCTTTTGCCAAACAACGCGGTTTCCCTAAGTTTTGGTTGACGACATTATGACCTGTGCGCGTGTCACACATACAAAAACAAAAGTCAAAGACACAAGTCGTGGGTATGAACATGTTCTTTTAGTGTTGTTATGCAACTGTGTTGGGTGATACAGATGGTACCAATCCGCTTTGCGCTGATTCGTTCGACCCGTGCAACACTGAGGGAGAGTGTGCGTTCAACACCGACAGTCGTTCATACATGTGCCAATGCCAGCCAGGCAGAACAGGACACTATTGCGAGAATGGTAAGTTTAACAACTTTTAGAACGAGGTATGTCTCGTTGTCCAGGAAACGACCAATCAGCGACATTCCCGCCAAGGGCCTTATCAGAGTTTAAAGCCCGCTCAATCGTTATTTTACTACTCTTGATGACGCGTCGAGGGCCTTGGATTAGTTTAAAGCCCGCTGAATATACTCTAAACTGGTGCGTACAACTACCTGTATGCATTATAGTACGGTGCAGGTAATACAGCTAGCGTGTGTTGAAGAAGAAAATGAGCGGAAACGTACTATGCTGTGAAACACGCATGCGGCATGATCAGGGCAAATGACAGCTGAAAAGAAAAGGAAAGCAAACAAACACACACACACACGCACACACACACACACACACACACACACACACACACACACACACAACAACAACAAGTGCCATACGCATGAATGTTAACGGCCAACGCCAAGGCCGACACCATCGCAAATTGCCAGCCCACCGAGACGACGACGTGAACCGCGGAGACGAAGGTCGACAGCCCGGAAAACAGCAAACTGATGGTGGATCCGCACCCAGGACATGACGTTGCTGTAGGACTTGTCCCACCTGGAGGCAAGGCGCATAGCAAGTCGCCGTTGATACGCACGGTACTCTGTGTGCAGTGCACCATCAGTTGAGCAGACCAGCGGGGTGAAGGATGCTCGCAGCTCCTCTGCGGCCGCCTTGTACTTTCTCTTCTTGGAAGAGGCGGCACTGTTGGATACGGCGTTCCAAGAGAGGTTCGAGCGGACATAGCTGGGTGCGTCGGCATCCACGATGCGGTTGTCAAAGTACGCCACCCTGTCTCCTTCCCAAACTCCCCGGACCAGCCAATCCGCCTGCAGTGTGGGGCGGTTGTTGCCATCCTGCACAGGTACCATCACCGGCTCGACAGCCACACCTCCCCATGCAACGTCTGCCAGCCGGGCATCGAAGTCGCGGACATCGTTGTGCCCGCGCTTGATGAGCCCACCCTTCATGCAATCCAGACCATGCTGTAGAGAGAAAGCAGCTCCACAGCCATCGCAATGCGACGGGAGAGCGTTCGGCTCCTGGCCATAGCGAATGGCCAACTGATCGCGGAACTGGACCGCCGACATGTCATAACCTTCCTGCTTGAGAGGAAGCACGGTCAACCAGCCGGAAGCGTTGCCATCAACGATGCGGTTGAGGGTCCGCTGTTGGCGACGCGGAAGCGCAGCTCGGAGGGCTTTACTACGTTCCGTCATCTGCAGGTCTCGAGCACGGCTGACCTCGCTGGTGACTTGACGGCACTGGCTGATGTGGTGAGCCATGTCGACCGGTGCACCGGTGCAAATGGCAGCCTGCAGAATCTCAGTGGCGCGCTTCGATGTGGCATGAGCATCAGGGGCTGACGTAACGGGATTGGCCAGGCCGAGACCTCCCACTTTGGCTGGAAGGGCCAACAGATCTTGCTGAACGTCAAGAACCTCACGACCTAGCAAGCTGGGGGCGAATACGTGCCGGATAGTGTCCCGCAGGGGAGTATACTCGGTCTCGTTGCCTTCCAACACACGCTGGAGGTAGGTCCACTCGCACGAGAGGGATCTCGTAAACGCGGAGTGTGCTGACTGCGGGTACGCCTTTGCTGCCTTGGCAAGACAGTTGACACCATCGACCCAATCACTCACTCTGCTACGGACAAAGGAAGAGACTCCCTCTGGATCACCAATGTAGCTACCCAGGAAGCGACCGGAGGTGGTGACTTGCACGTTTAGATTGCCGAAGATTGTCTTGGCGGCCTCCACATGATGGGGCTTGACGATCACGATGGATTTCGAGGGCTCGGCGAAGTACCCAAACGCTGGACCCTGCTCGAGGAGGGAGAGGAACCACTCCTTGATTCGCAGCAACCTCCCGAGGCACGACGAGTCGTCTGCGTACCAATTCTGGATGTGATGACTTGGATCCTTGAGACGCTCGATGAGGGGCTGTATGCCGATAGCATACATGAGCATGGCTAATGGGCAGCCTTGGGTTGTTCCTTCGCGGCTGAGGATGGCATGGGTGCCGGCGCCATTTGGGTCTTTCAGAACTACCACTGGGAAGCCCCGATAGCAGTTGAAGAGGAACGGTGCAGGTAATGAACTCTGCATAAAATGTACGGTGTACTACTAAAAGCTACGCAATTCAGAAGTGTGTACGGTTTTTGCCTCCCGTATTCTTTCATCTGTACGAATTTCCTTTGTCAACAGCTTGTGGAAACATATAAAAACCGAAGATCAAAGTCATAAGAGGTATCGACAAGGAGCCCTCAAAGCCCCTAAATAGCTCCACAAGCTATGAATAAGAATGTAGCTCGCAATAAGAGCCCAGCATTTCATTTGCTGCTTTTCTACTTTTAGTAGTCCTAAGTGGTGCTGAGTTACCATAACTAAACAGAAGAAAATATTCTTTCCTACCACACCAAGTCTCTCTGCACACAAACAACAAAACTACCCAATATAATGGTACACAAGCATAATGGAAGTGAGATAATGCATGTAACCTCGTTCTAAAATAGTTAGTGCATGGCAGGGAGGGTCTTATGGCTTGTTTGTTCCCTTCAGGGTAGCCCTCGGGCCTACGGCCCTCAGGCTAACCTGTCGGGCACTAACAAGCCATAAGGCCCTCCCTGCCATGCACTAACCTATAATTAAAACATAAATGAAACTAAAAATTAGTGTTGATGCAAGTATGCATGATTTTCTGGACTCTACGGGTCACTTCAGCCAGAATGCCAAGTTCTAGCATTATATTCTTGGCACGCTGCCGTTCTGGTAACTTATTCGTGACGTTGGTTGTGTGTTCAGCACTTTAGTCACCAGCTAGATTTTATTCTTATCATCAGATTGCCAGAACTATTGCTGTAACTCCGAGTCTAATATTTTTGGCAACTTCCCACCTGCACCTGACTCATACGCTATGGCTCCCTTCAGTAAATCGCACCCTGCATCCTCTCTGTCTCTCTCTGTATGTCTGTCTGTCTGTCTGTCTCTCTCTTTCTCTTTCTCTCTCTCCTCAAGTGACTACCTTGTGATTCCAGGTGCACTGGCAGAAAAGCAACGAGCGAAAACTATTATCGTCTGCAATGACAATCCTCTTGTAGATTATCAAACCCACATAATTATAGCGGTGGTCCTGGTTTTTAATTTGTTTTTCGCAGCTGGTGGAGACTGTTCAATGTCCCAAACACACTCTACTCTATTGAGTAGTAATACATATACAGTGTATCTCATTTGTCTACTAACGTTTTGCAGAGATTGACGAGTGTGCCAGCGAGCCGTGTCAGAATGACGGGAGTTGCGTCGACGCATTCAATAGTTTTTCGTGTAACTGCTCAGTTGGTCACACGGGCGACGTATGTCAAACGCGTAAGTATGCCCCCGCCTTGTGCTCAATGTCATGCGAAACAATTCTGTAAATTAATCGCTGAGCACACATGGATTCATTTCACCGACAATAACAAATTTCCTTTGTGCAGTAGAAGATTTTACGGGGTGTCGCTTAGTGACGTGACCCGGTTACGTCACTGACATGCCTTCATTCCCTCTCATTATACCCATTCAGCTTCTGTTGAACTAACTTACTTGCAATAGACCTACATAACAATAAGATAAAACCTTCCAGTCACAAGTTGAATGCATACGAATTACGAAGATCCAATCGAGAAACGTGATGAGTGCATGTGAATACCTACATGTACACTTAATCCAGTCATAATGGTCCCGGACGCGGGATAAGTGCATAAGACTACTTGCACCTGATCCGGTCACGTGTCAGACTTAGATTTAGTATTAAAAGTGTTTATGCTGATACGACATTTTGTGTTACTACTGACTCCCTACAGGTTGGCTGACACTGGCAGTATTTGAAGCGTTGAATGCAAACGTCGCTATCCTTGAGTCGCAATTAGCTGAGGCGAACCGCACCATCCGGGCGAGCCTGAATGCAAACGTCGGCATCCTTGGGTCGCAATTAGCTGAGGCGAACCGCACGATCCGGGCGAGCCTGAATGCAAACGTCGGCATCCTTGAGTCGCAATTAGCGGAAGCGAACCGGACCATCCGGGCGAGCGCAAATCGCATAAACAAGTTGGAAGGCCCTGTTTCTACATTGCAAGTATGTTAGTGTTTCACTGCACTCATGCATCACAGGTAGTAAAAAGAAAAAAAGGACATAATTATGGATACGAGTTAAGAGTAACTGTCCATAACTGTAACCAGACACAATTATATTCAGTAAAGTCAGAAAGTGAAACCACTGTGCACAAAACTGACAGTTTTCTGAAACATTCGACATCCTGACACCTAGCTTCAACACATCTCCGTAGCGCTAACCAACAGCCTTCCAACTAGGAATGTTCAAGGTTAAGGAGAGACGAAAGCATTCCTGGCATAGTCTAGGGTCGACTGAATAATAGACAAGTAGAATGTTCGCTTTGCATCATTTGTTAAATTTCTACGGCCATGTCGGAAAGCAGCAACTTTAGCAAAAACTGAGTTACACAATTTCTGGACCTGTGGCTAGAAGGTGAGATGGTCGTCTATCAATAAACTACGGTATTTGGCACTGCTCCTAGGTGTAAGGGCCCTTCCGTTACAGGTCAGGGGCCGTGGTAACTGCGCTCATGTAAATCTGGTGAGCATAAAAAGTGATGTAACATGAAAGCGGGAGTTTATAGGTCAGTTGTATGATAGAATAGGGATTGTATAGAAGAAGCTACAACTACTGTTGAATCAAAAGAATGACATAATATACAATTCTAATGTGCGCGGACACGAAACAGGCGACTGACAGTATGATGCTAATATTAATACTTAAAAGTATACGCAATCTTCGGACAGAACTGTCTTGTCCTTTGTTGACTCATCAGCGCAGCATAGAGGAAATGAGGCCGAGCCTAATAGCAAATGAAAAATAAAATGTCCAAAGCCAGAAACCAGGTCCGAATGTACCTTGTCAGACTGCTCAAACTGACAAGTCAGTGAGCCCTGCATGACGCAAACAGCGAAGGCACTACTCCACAAAAAGAGTGCTCAACTGCTACAAGAGCAGGAGCGAAATAATATACCTTTATACAAAAGAAAAAAGACCCACGGAACTACAAGTTACGCTATCATGTCTACTACCACTACCAGTTACTAAACTATCATTTAATGCGGTAACATAACTACTACATTGTACGGGCAACATGAATTGCACATAATATAATTATGTTTCATCAAACAAATTCAAATTCAATAAACTCCTTTAAAATATAAAATCAATTTAGATGCTAGTAAATAAATTGGAACACAAAATAAAAAGTAAAAATCAATTGGAATACAAAAAACTACTACTAAAATTTATGGACTACAGCATGCTACTTCGAAGTATTGTTTTGTGGGAATTGAGGGGGCGGGGACACAGATGGGAGGCATTGTCTGATGATCATTGGATGACTTAGACTCTTGTGATATTTTTGGATTGTTCCTGAGGTTCGACCTGTTCTGGGTCTTGCATTTGTTTCTGTACGTATTCTCCTCAAGGTGTTACAACAGTGCAATCCAGCATCACTCGGGTTCGCTTATACAACTCAACTCAGATATACAAGCGGAAATATCCAACTGGCTAGCCTCCGATTCACGAAGAAACGGGAATCCACACTTCTACGGATCACTTACTCAACCAGTGTTGGAACTTACGGAAAGAATACAGGCTCTCTGTGGTACGCCAAAGTTGACGGTCAAGAGTGCACTCAGCCGTCACGTATAAGTATTGCTCATTTCCGACAAAATTACGTTCAAGTGCATATCCCTGGCTATTTGGAGGGTCTTTGCAGAGCGACAAGTGCGGGACCAATCAAGCAAGGCAGTCACGTGATCACAATTCACACGGGACAAATCGGGGGGATCGAACATAACGCTTTTTCGGGCTTTGCGGTACCATCTCTTCTGCAAGTCAAAGAGATCTGCGACCAATAAGGAACGTTCGTTATACTGGCGACGTTAGATCTGATCAGTAATTTCCTTCGCTCTCTCTCTCTCTCCATCTTGGATGTTTCATAACTATACATGAATTTGTACATATAAATATACATGTACCTGTTGTTGGTTGACAGCATGTAACAAGTCGGAGACCACCGTGTTCGGAAACAGTGACCTTAATACAACCATCCGCGGTTGGTAGAGCCCCGGTCTTTACGCCCATCTGAACCGCATGGGTCTTAGACCCGGTTCTGACCTTCTTTATTCTAGCGGACTTGTCTTAGTTTTCTTCTTGTTGTACCGTCAGTCGTGTATTCGGTGTTCGCTCTTGGACGTCTTCTTGATACTCAGTCTTCGTAAAATGTGTAGCTTCTGTTCTGAATTGTTATTCTTCTTCATCTTTTTATACAGTGCTCGTTTTCCAACTGCTACCTCTTCTATGTAGTATCCGTCTATACACATGTTGTATCCCTAGTATCAGCTGCCATGCACACTACTGGCTTTCCATTTATCTCACATGCTTGCTTGTTCCACCCGTCGCACCATTGAATGCATGGACTGCTGCTTGGGTACTGGCCGCCCCTTAAAGGCTTTGCTCCATTCAGCCTTGCCACCATTGCTTTCATGTAATCGGCTGTACTTCGTTCACTGATCTGTTTCGTCACGTACCGGTACATGTAGCCAAACCTTTGATCTGTTGTTTGCAGTACGCTATACAACTCTCTCTTTCAACCGCCTTCCATTTATCCACCTTTCTTTTCCGCTTAACCCCCTTCTTTGCCATTCTCCTGTCCACGTATAAATGTACCAACTATGAACTTTCTTCTTCCTTCCCACTGCTCTGTTACGCATTGTCCCTCCCGCCGTATACCTCTAAAAGCTTGCCTTTGTTTCCTTAGTTCATAGTTAATTCTACCAACTAAGCTCCAGGTTTGTACCGGAGTAAGTTCACTACTCTCGTTCTGTTTCCTTCCTTAGGTTGCTACACCGGGTGTGCACCGAAGATATTTCGATATCATAAATAATAATATACATGTACATAGCAGACTCAGCGGAGGACGTTCAGGTTGGTTGTAACTCTGAGTTTCATCAGACAACTGATCTTTTATAATTATTATGACTTAAGTGGGGAGCCAAGGATAAATTAAGAAGAAACGAGGACCAAGGAACTACAAGTTACGCAGTAGTACAGGGGCCAATTCAAAACCAAATTCATGCCTTGACACATGTTGATTAACATGGATTTTTCGGTGTCATTTGATAGATAATGTCTTCAAGAGCATCTTCGCCAAGTATGGTGTGTCCAATCGCGTCCAAAGGTCCCGAAATCACCCTCGATAGGAATACAAAATTGCCGAAAAAGCTAAGTTCTCATCGGATATATTCAAGCATTTTCAAGACTATCTCGGTACTATATCGACTGGACCTGGAGGTTTTTCCCCTTTTAGGTGCCAGGAGCTAGAGTAACACCTTACATACACAGAAGGCGAACCGACGCGTACACGGATTTTGTGCGAGTGTTGGAAACATTGAGCATCAAGTAGTACTAGTGTACATTGTGGTTGTGATTATACCAGAACGGTGTTACCTCATTTGGACATTTTCTTCAAAGTTTTGCATTGACTCGCTGGCGCTATTGCTGTCGGAACGTCCACGAATGGATCGATGCTGAGTATTAGTTCAGCAGAACCTTCATTACATATTGGCTCCCCGGAAAAGTAGGCATTATTCCAACAAGGAGCAGCACAACAATTATGTATGGAAAGCAGGGGAAAAGTCATCATAGCTTGCCAAGCCAGTTGAAACTACTCATAGGACGACTCTACTACCGTGGAAAGTTTTACCTGGTTTACTTCATCGGGCTGGAATGAAGGCATTTACTTTGTGAGTACTGCTGCACAGGATGTGTTTCTGTAGGCGGGCATTAGATTCGAATCTACAAGAGCGGCTAGTGTTAGTACCATGAATTGAACACACCAACCGTGGTGATCATCTACCATTTGCACAAAGCCTATTTACCAGCTGAACAGATCTAGGACTACTGCCTTAGGAGTGGCATGCTGCGGCGAGAGGGAGTAGCTAAGTGGTGTGAAGTGTTACAAAAACGAAACCCGAGTACCTGGAGGTTACCTATCACAATTTGCAACACCAGCAGTAGAAGAATCCTTTCCTGTCACAGAACTTGATGGCTGGGCCTATGCAATGTGAAACTACAGTTATACTATAAGATTCCAACTGCAGAAAAAGGTCCGATGTGCTCGTGCTCCAGTCCAGAACCGATTTGAGGAGTTGATAATAATATATCCACGTACAGTAAAACCTGTAACTAACGACCACCCCTTGGGACCAGAGAAAGCGGTCTTTAGGGGCAGGTGGTCCTTAGTTAGAGGTTTGCACCGCACAACCATAAATGAATGTGAGACCGTCCGTGCCCGGCGAAGTGGTCTGTAGTACCAGGCTGGTCGCTAGTCACGGTGGTCTTTAGTTACAGATTTTACTGTAGTACCAGGCTGGTTGCTAGTCACGGTGGTCTTTAGTTACAGATTTTACTGTAGTACCAGGCTGGTCGCTAGTCACGGTGGTCTTTAGTTACAGATTTTACTGTAGTACCAGGCTGGTCGCTAGTCACGGTGGTCTTTAGTTACAGATTTTACTGTAGTACCAGGCTGGTCGCTAGTCACGGTGGTCTTTAGTTACAGATTTTACTGTAGTACCAGGCTGGTCGCTAGTCACGGTGGTCTTTAGTTACAGATTTTACTGTAGTACCAGGCTGGTCGCTAGTCACGGTGGTCTTTAGTTACAGATTTTACTGTAGTACCAGGCTGGTCGCTAGTCACGGTGGTCTTTAGTTACAGATTTTACTGTAGTACCAGGCTGGTCGCTAGTCACGGTGGTCTTTAGTTACAGGTTTTACTGTAGTACCAGGCTGGTCGCTAGTCACGGTGGTCTTTAGTTACAGATTTTACTGTAGTACCAGGCTGGTCGCTAGTCACGGTGGTCTTTAGTTACAGGTTTTACTGTAGTACCAGGCTGGTCGCTAGTCACGGTGGTCTTTAGTTACCGATTTTACTGTGCATGTGCATGTACATGCTGAAGGGTGAAATTGCGAGCCCAAATGGCTGGTGTTGAACGTCAGCTTCAACCAATGTAACTTAGTACTGCACCTGATGTTAAGTCTTTAGTAGCGATCATAGCCAACTTGATCTAGTGAAGAGAGGAATTCTCGCAAAGTTGCTGGTATTGTTTGTTTATTTAGAGTCGAAGAACAAGCAGGCAATTTTCCCTAATTACATGGTATCGACTAAAAAAGGAAAGTCTGTCGTAGTGTTTCCATGCCAGATTGCGGTATCGGAGGTTCGGCGTGTTTATGTGTTATTCATAACTCAGTAACGAATAAATCCGGTGTCAGCTAGTAATCAGGAGGCGGTATAGCAATGTAGCAGGCAACCTCTCTCAATTATCACATAGACGAAGTAGCATCATGAGAAATGGAACATTTTCGATATCACGGGTATGCATGTTTTTTTGGGATCGGTACAGGAGTGAATAAAGACCAGAATATTATTTCCGGTGGCTGGGTATGCAGTCACAGCCATACTCACTCATGAAAAAGAGTATGCATGAGCTAGAAAAACTAGAATCGTGGAGTGAAAGGTCCGAAGTTTAATTCGAAATACGAAAAGAGTGATTAACGAAATTGAATATTTAATGAAACGGTCAATGCAAATCGCCTAATTTCCAACTGCAAAATTTGCAATACATGAACTGTCCTCAGCTCGATCCGTGAGGAATAGCACTTGCGGGGTACCCTCAATAATAGATCATGGTACAACTTGTGGTACCTAACCCGATTACCTGAAATTGAAGTATAAAGAAAAGAAATATAATTCACGGAATTTTCCAGATGTGCTTCGTGCAAATTATAGAAGGGTTTTGAGCGGAATCTGACAATCGTTTGGTCATTAACTACCAAGGTTTAATAAGTAAAAGAGAAGAGGGGTAGCTTGAAGTGATCGATGGTGCTGGAGAGATTACAACTGACATAAAATGCGGGAACTGGTGGTAAAACCGGAAAACTTGATGCATGGTGCATAAAACGTCCGGAATTGTGCCAGAAAATGGGGAAACATTCATGTATTGAGGCATGTTACACGTCGCGTTCACGACCCGGAAAGGGAATATTTGTGAACACGTAACAAGCGAAACTCACAACTATTTGCACCATGCCTCATTCAAGGCCTCACATAATCATAGTTATGTTCGTCGGTGCTGACAGCGACTCCGTACGCGTCGCTGCTTGTCATTGCCGTCTCGGCTGCCTGCTCGTCAGTGAAAACCTTATTCGGCATGGCCGGAGAGCTGCCCTGCAAATTGTCATTGGACTTGTTAGAGTCGATTTTGTTTGTGCAGCGGATATGCACAATTCTCGCGAATAGGGCTGTAATCAGGGCGCCTAGTACCAAGCTTGCAACCAACATCCCAATCAGCATTTCCGTTGTTATTGACGACGAAGGAATAATGGTCTGTGCCATTTTTTGTCCTGGACACATATGAAAACAATCAACAGCAGGCTGTGAAACGCAGAATGCTGAAAACCTGACCATCCTACTGATCCACAGCAGGCGCTTATATCCTCCACCTAACCTGAGTATTTAGAAAAGCGATCCTGTCAGCTTTTCTATTATTGTGTTCACATGGCAAGAAAAACGACACCGCTATGCTACGTAAGTTTCTACGTAAGGTGCTCGGTATTTCACTTAGGCTACGTAAGTCTCTACGTAAGGTGCTCGGTATAGACCTACCAACCGTTGGTAGCCGAGTGCTGTGCACGTGCACGGCAGACATTGTGTTGCATGCAGTGCATGCAGTCCGTGTTCGGATGTGCATGCGCGAGGAACTTCCTCCTTTGGAACTGCTTCTTGTATGAGCTGTTTCGGATATTTCGTCTTCTAGATCCTGGCCTGGCTTATTTCGTTTCGGCGCTGCTGAGACCTCCTTTCGCGGAATATTACTCAATATCGACAGGTGAGTTGACCAGTTACCTTTGATTCTTTTGCTTGTGTTGACTCTTTCATTTATGTGTTCTAGTCCATGGACCCCGTCTAAAAAGTAAGAAATTAACGAAATGTGATAGCTGAAAATTAAAATTTCACACAAAACCTCACAATAATCACACACAGAATGAAAAGCAACATGTAGAAGACCATTTCTCCTCGTGATCCTCTTTCCTATGCATGCATGTTGCCAATTGTTGGTGGAGTAGAAGTTTAGTGTTGAAAGCAGCATTTCAAGTGTTGTGATTATTGTGAGGTTTTGTGTGAAATTTTAATTTTCAGCTATCACATTTCGTTAATTTCTTACTTTTTAGACGGGGTCCATGGACTAGAACACAATAACTTTTTTAGAAAACTGCCATAAAGCAGTTTTTATTGCTATAATTGTCTGTGGTTCGACTGTTATTGCCCCGTCTGACGAAGTTAAGTATCGAGGACTGACTCTCGATTCAATTTTAAGTTTCAGTGCCCACGTTTACTCCCTCAGGGAAGAAATCGGAAAGAAACTAGGTGCTTTTCGACGTGGAAGAAGGAACCTTGCTGTCCAGGCCAGAAGGCAGTTCTAATTGTCAGTATTCCAGAGCAAGCTCGAGTACCCCAGCACTGCCTACGTTCACTGGTTCGCTGACAAATTGAGAGATCAGCTGCTACGCATAAGTTAAGAGATGCATATTTGAGCATGACACATTCACGCGGACATCATACATACTTGCTTGAGCGATACCACATAATTAGCTTAGACAAAAAATATCATACTAAGTCCATATTCTTCGTGTTCCGTTGCATCCACAATATCTGCAGTTCACTCCTCTCTGCCATGTTCTCCCTTCGCCGTGACTGCGCTCACACAGATAGAATAACCCGCGGCCAAGTCAATTATTCCCTTTCCTTACCCATTGTGAAAACTCAAGCTGGATACAGATCTATTTCATTCCTTGGTGCTGACCGCTATAATGCGCTTTCCGAATCCCTTCGCGCAAATCATATCCCCAATTCATTTCGCCGGGAACTTAACAATTTCATTTATCTTGGGCACCCTGTAAGAAGACCTTAGGGTCTGTTGGGAATGCCCAAGTAAAATGATAAAATACAATACAAACAATACCATCCTGAAAACTGAGCGACATAGGCACACTATAATTCGCACAAAGCCATAATCTTTAAAATATGTAACTCGCTAAATTCGGTCAGTATGATTACGATTGTAATCACTTCGTCTTGGGGGGGAGACATGGGGAAGTCAACATACTGGCAAATGGGCTCGCTTCGGCGAACGAGAAGCACAGCTTGGATGACTCCACTCTACTGAGTGAGGACGACCCACGACTTCATCTTCTGAGCATAGTCATGATGACAGTGCTGACATACGCCGAAGGTTCACAGTATCGGCCGAATTTTGCCGTGATCATGCTTTGGCGGCGGAAATGATCCACGACATTCTACTTATTAGTCAACTAGGAAACGTGGTATACTATCCAAGTTCTCAGAAGGAGTAGAGATATTAAACACTTAAAATTTGTTCTTTAATATACTCGACGTGATTATATCCACTCTTAAAAGTATGCAAAGATTTGTCTCTTCATTATCTTACCAAAGCAACCAACAGTTCCATTTGAACACGTGCACATGAATCCAGGTGTAAGGTTAGTACAGTTGTCAGAACACAATGTCTCTTCCATTAAACATTCATTGATGTCTGTAGGATAACAAATACAGGCAAGTGCATGGAATTTTTCTTTTTAAACAGGTTTTCGCGGCAAGATGCTGTGATGTGCAAGGTAGATATGGTCGGATTTAAAACTAAAATATGAAAGATTTCCTTGGTTAGTTCGTGATATAAACCTCATACAACGAACCCTGAAGCATGATTCCGAATGGGTGAAGGAGAAAGTTACTTTACCACACTATAGTCAATAAATAATACACCGTATATTCCGTTACATCAATCAGCAGAATCAGCGAAGCGGACATTGGACGTAAAAACTAAAAAGAATAAAATGTGGATAATACAATTTCCTAACAGGTTTTCTAGAGACATTTATCAGGAAAATAAGTCTCCAAAATAAAATCTAGCAATAAACAACAAGATACAATTATGTGGAAGTGTACGAACTGATCTATTATACTTCTGAAGAAGCAACCAAATACCCCACAGCACTATAGTTTACATCGATTGAGTAGACCTGTAGAGAGTTTAGCCTATACTTTACTTTGGAATAGCCGCACATTAGTGTTGTCCCAATTGTCTGAAGCATGATGACCAAGACATATTTACATTCCATTGCCGCACGATATCCCACGCACAGTGATCGAGCCTATTAAATGACGTTATAAACAGTTTCTATCTCAACGTCACTATGTGGAGGTGTTCTGTGTGCTTTGAGAGCAAATGCTCTCACCCCCACCATTCGGCTTAGCTTCCTCCGTACGGCATAGGCTGTGCTGGACCAAACCTCGCCAGTATCCTTTCTCCACAGTCATGAACCAAGACACTGAAATAAAATACAGTGAGCTAGGTACCCTTTCCACATGCGCTGACTCATATACAGACCGCACTCCAACCCCGTCTACCCCTCTCTGATCCCCTTTGTTCATACTTTAAATTTGTCTCTCCGAGTTATCGTGCCGTACGCACTTTTCTCTCCATATTCATATTTCCACAGTGCAATCATTCGGCTTTTGTTATGGCCTATATCAATTTCCAATTCTCTCCATGATCGTTTTCGAGTAAGCTTTTCTATTGGATTCTCAAGATCATTTCTCCTTTGCGGCCACGCACATGAGTAAGGATGAATCCAAGACAATTGGTCGGAGCTGTTGATTCTGCCCCCGCCCCACTGCCATCCAGTAATTAATTGATGTCACCGCCCCCGATGTGCAGCATCTGTTGGTTCTGTGGTGTTAGGTAAAAAAATAATTCGAAGGAGTTCTGTACGCTTAGGATTACACAGGGATCACGTGTTTCGTTTTAAATTTCAGGCCTATACTGCAGTAAAAATTGAATGACTCACCGAAGCACGACGGTATCGAACTCCAATTTCCGTCGGCCATACACTGGATAGTGCTTGACCCAACCATGTTATCATATCCACTCCGACACTTCACGGTGACAGACTCTCCAATGGCTATTCCGTCAATGTCGCTTATCGTGGACCCTTCAATGGCCTCACAGTGAGTCGCTTGAAAACCGAAGCAGATTTAACATAGCAATAAATGAACTTGTAAGATAAATAATTACATTGCACAAACACATAATATAGGGACAAATGTTCCACAAAGATGCTGCAATAAGAAGAAGAGTTTTGGAAGAGATTTCTGAGATATAATTTAAAACAGAGAGGTTCCTACTGTTTTCTGATGATCGCTTAGTGCGTGAAACTCAGAGTTAAAACTGTTTCTCTGTCCTCTTTTTGTTTTTAAATATACTATAATGCTAGCCAGATCATAGACGACTCAGCGGAGGACGGTCATCTCGGTTTTGTTTCAGAGCCTTTGGCTCAGACTGACGCAGTTGTGTGATGATTGGCTCGCAGTACAAAACTTAGATTATACTGAATGGCTACCGCGGAGTGTGCTCAGGTCTGAGCTCCTTATGTGACTTCCAGGACTCTCAGCAAGTAGGGGATCAACGGATATGTACGTGGCCAGCTCAATAATTATGTTCGGTTTTCTGATCAACGTTTAACTCACAGGAAACCTAGAATATAAACAAATTAAAGGTTTGTGGATCATTTGGTAGTGTTGTTCAACCTCAGATTTGAGGAATCGGGTCGGAAAATCTGTCCGAATTGACTGTCTCATATCATAACCCTGAACTAACCTGAACATGTTGGCAACGTACTCCAGATTCCTTCTGTCAAACATTGTACCGTTTCTGGTCCATTAATACTGGCATGGCCATCTCTGCACGCAGCAGTTACGCTAGTGCCAATAGTACTTCTAGGAATGGCTTGGATTGTTGTGCTGTTGATCTTCTCGCAATGCGTAACTACTCAGACAATACAGAACACACATACATGTACTCGTTGTTGTGAGTTTAAAATACCCAGCGTAGTTTTGCACGTTTCAATCCAACCTGTGCCTAATCCCGATAATTCAACTTCATCAAGAGTAATACTTGACGTACATATAAAAACGACTTGTCCACATTTATGTGGGTAATTTTCTCTTTATGTCCATTCTATCTGCAAACCTTTAAGCACCTCATTCCCGCACAATGATACACAAAAAGCTGCTTTCACCTAGGGTTCGGTGAAATGCATGTCCCCACTCAGAGTTTCTGATTTCGAAAACGCATCAAGTGATTTTACTGAAATGTCGTTTTGCCACATTCATCTGTGAGATGTTCCAAGTACTAGTAGATCAAGTTTAGTAGAAATTCAAGTCAACAGCCGCATTACCAATAGATTTCTAGTGGCGGCAGAAATATGTCCAGCCCCAAACGCAGCCGATGTAGTCTATATTAGCCCTTACACTGAGCACGAATTGTCCAAAATCCGTTTGGTAGGCAAGTGAACTGATGCTTTACATTCCTGGGACAGTAAATCTGATCGCAGGGCACCATCACTCTGGTGCCTTTTGTGTTAGGTGTTGATGGCGTGATGAAGACATCGGAAATGAGCGTGTCCAATGGGGCACAGTGGGTGGCTGTAATACGCAATGACCAAACACGAGGATGCACCCCACATTAGTTTGCGAAGAGTGCAAAAAATCCTTGGATTCGGAGCATAGAACGGACGTTGCTAATCCCTTTCCCTTTGTGTTTATACGCTTCCCATCTTCCTATTTTTTTCGTCCGTGGTTGGTCTCACACTTTCCTCGATTATAACGTAAAGCGTTCTATGCTAAAACTGTGTTTCACACACTGAAGAGTATTTGGCCTGTACATGCTTCATACACGCTAATAATATCAGGTCTCATTTTTACTTTGTCAGCCCTGTTCGTCCCACCGCCTGCCATATTATTACATTTATACCTGACAGTCAATGTCTAGATCCGCTACTTCGAAGTACATATACATGAAAGGTTGCGGTAGACCCTTACCTGGAACGTTTATAGTCGTAGTGGTTGATAATGGCTGAGTCGCTTTTGTACATCTGTCAACAACACTTTGAGGACGGGGAGGAGAGGATCCAGTTCCATTGCAATCGAAAGATCTAGTATACCAAGTGGTGCATGTTACATTGAAGTAAAAACTTGATGGATCATTTCGATTAGCAGCAATGTTTGGATCATCCCCTTGAAAACTGAAAACGGATTTGAACATATTCTCCATATTTATAATATATGTCGTCGAACTAAGATGGAAATGAAGAGGCAATGTTGATGTCCATGATCCGTTGAGGGAGTGGCTTCCATTTGAAATACAAGGTATCTTGTAGGTGGCATTACTATTGTTCAGTTGTAGTGACGTAGGGGAAGACTGTGAGCGAGATATTGGACCTGTGCATGTAAATATGAAAACGTTAATCCTCTCTGTGCTCGGATGAAGAGCCAAGAATAAATGTATGCAAAAGAATAAAGACCAAGAAACTACTAAACGCGCCTTGTAAAAGAACTACAAGATAAGCTGTAATGTCCACTAACACCACCTGTTACTAAACAATCAGCTCATGCGAAAATATTGCACGACACTGACCGACGGTGCTGATGTTCTACAACAAACTCGCTAACAGCTCTAGCACGCCTTGGATGCGCATTCCAACGGCCTTACAACTTGGTAGGTTCTAAGCTTTATGACAACATAAGAGGGGAGGATGAGCGCAACCAAGACAAGCACGGGCTGAAAGTATGATTCGTGAAGGACTTTGGGGGATTGCCATGCATTTGGATGATGACACTGTGCTCACCTTCACCTGTTATTTTAATTTTTATTATATACATAGTGCATTTGCTGTTTGCATACTACAACCGGTGAGTGAAATGAAGGCGTGGAAACAGGTGAATGTGATAGAGTGAGGAACTGTGAGGTGTGGTGTATGCGAATTCCACTATGCTATAGACGTATTAGTAGTTTGTTTCCCCACATAGCTTCGATTGTAAGACGATTTTTCCCTGATGATGGTCTCAAAAAAATCGATTAGGAACATCAATTTTATCATACATGTATTTTCATTCATCATTTTATAATGTCCGCTTCGCTTATACTATTTATCACCTTGATCTCTGTGTGTGCCAGTAAATGTGGAGCAAGACCCAAAGTGCTCACTGACTTTATAGTACTGACGTGCAGTTACAGTGTTGGGCAGTCACGTGTACCTCTTATCTTTTTACCTCATTCTCTTATGCCTTCTGAATGGGGATCAGATTATAGCGAAACAAGTGTTTAAGAGAGCATGTGTGAGAATACCAAAGTATGTGTGCAAGAGGATCTCTCCGATTTCGCTCAAAATTTGCAGGTAGGTTCCCTTTGGAGTGTGGATTGATTGTGCAAAGCCCTTGAAATCGTTTCTGAAGCGATCCTTGAAATTTGAATACCCCTCAGAAATGGCCGAAATATCACATTATGTATGGGTCTAGAAACGAGTCACGCCGCAACGTATACGAACAAGCTATGAACAAAACTCCATCAAGCCAACATTGCCTCACCTTAGAAGAGGTCCTGGAGCAGTACCGCTTAGCCACGCCAGGATCCCAGAAGACGAGGTCCATCACCCCCTGACGCCACAAATGATCGTCTTGAAAATAGCCAATTTACAAGCGCTGGCAAAACAGCCAGCTACGTCCTCAATTGGCCAGAACTATACACCGGCAGATAGTAGAACACCTCTTCTAGCGCTGAGGACATGTCCCCCATCTTCCTTTTGGGGTTTTCTTGAAGTAAACTTTTTTGAAATTTTCCACTCGACCATGCTGAAATACGGCCAAAGTCATACCTGCGCAGGAAAGCTCGGCCCTCCGCGACGTCTCCTCAGCAATTTCTACTCCAACACTACTCCCAAGGCCGCAGAACAAAGTGTATTGTTGGCTTTGACAAGGAAAAGCAGCGGTGATCACTTGTCACTCCAAACGACAAGCTTCTCCTTGCGCCACCAATAATTTTTTGTGCGACTGTTGAAGTAAAAGTGACTGAAGGCATGAACGCAATTCTTGAATTTTACAACAAGAGGCACGGTGAAATCACGTGCCTTGTGACGCAAGAATGCCAAGTCGCGTGGATCACTGCTCACGAGATTTCAGAGTCACCTTCGTCAAGTGCGCTTGTTACTCGCCTTGATCGCCCGTTGGTCTCACTTGTGTTGTTACTGCGCTCAAGAACACGCTGACCGTGTTGTAGGCCTACGAACCGGGACTTTCCCTGACCATGTAGGTCGAAACCCAGTGATAATGATGATAAACTCACATTCTTAATGACGTAAGAAATCTCTCATGCAGTCCACGCGACAAGTTCGTGCAGCCAGTGCTGCTCGCGTGCCAGTGAACACAAAGCGAACGAGCTAGCAACTTTTGTCGAGCATCGACATAAAAACAAGGAACTTTTATCTTTGTACTACGTTCGGGATTGCAGGAGGTAAGTGTGAAAGACGAATAACTCTCCATGCTGTACGGGGGGCATATTTCAACGGCTTGCTGCCATTGCAACACTCCTAGGACAATTTGTGAGGGTTCTCAGTAGATCAAGCAGGAAATACAGCTTATCTTAGCTCTGCCATCATGGTCTTTTCCGTGTAGCGTTCCAGTCACGTTCGCGATCCATGGCCGGCCGTGTGTCGTGATCCAGGAAGCGTCATCCTCCGTCACAGAGCACGCGATCTCACTGTGCATCTCGCAATAAAATTCATAAAATGCGCTCCGGACTTCAGTCACTTTTGCATCAACAGTCGCACAACAAATTATTGGTGGCGCAAGGAGAAGCTTGTCGTTTGGAGTGACAAGTAATCACCGCTGCTTTTCCTTGTCAGAGCCCACAATACACTTTGTTATGCGGCCTTGGGAGTAGTGTTGGAGTAGAAATTGCTGAGGAGACATCGCGGAGGGGCGAGCTTTCCTGCGCAGGTATGACTTTGGCCGTATTTCAGCATTGTCGAGTGGAAAATTTCAAAAACGTTTATTCAAGAAAACCCCAGAAGGTAGATGGGGGACATATCCTCAGCGCTAGAAGAGGTGTTCTACTATCTGCCGGTGTATAGTTCTGGCCAATTGAGGACGTAGCTGGCTGTTTTGCCTGCGCTTGTAAATTGACTATTTTCAAGACTTTCATTTGTGGCGTCAGGGGGTGATGGACCTCGTCTTCTGGGATCCTGGCGTGGCTAAGCGGTACTGCTCCAGGAACTCTTCTAAGGTGAGGCATTGTTGGCTTGATGGAGTTTTGTTCATAGCTTGTTCGTATACGTTGTGGCGTGACTCGTTTCTAGACCCATACATAATGTGATATTTCGGCCAGTTCTGAGGGGTATCCAAATTTCAAGGTTCCCTTCAGAAACTTTTCAAGGGCTTTGCACAATCGATCCACACCCGAAAGGGAACCTACTTGCAAATTTTGATGGAAATCGGAGAGTTCCACTTGCGCACATACTTTGGTATTCTCAGACATGCTCTCTTAAGAACCACGAGGATGTTTCATTATGCTTCCTTACTATTCTGCATCCGGATATTCTGACTATAGGCCCTCATTGATGTTTAGAAACAAAATTAATGTCTAACTACGTTCGATGCAATTTGAATCGTATGTTAGTGCTGATAACCCAGTGACCAAACACTAGTATTATGGTGCTAAACTGCGCAAATGTACATAACATGTGCGAAAATGCATTTGCATAACGTTACGTGTAATGTTAGCAGCTGCACATTTCAAAAAGATCTGAACAGACCTTACCTATAATGTCCAAGTGATAGAGCTGTACCGAGGTACTATCAGCGGTTCTGCAATGGTACACTCCAGTGTATGAGGTGTCAAATATGGGATGTTCTGTGGTGTTCAAAGTCATTCCCGTTAGGCTTGTGAAGCTACCGACCACACCCAAAACCAAACTGGCATCAGTCGTCTCGAGGCGAATAAATGGTCCCATTCCGTGAGCAACAAGACAGTAAGGCAAGTAATCCGTCACATTTTCTGTATGTTGTTCATCTCCGAACGCCACTCTGTACGGTGAAAATTGGTTTGTACCAGGAGCATAAAGTCCTACGATTTGACCTACAAGAACAGCGGAGTGGGTAATGGGATACAGCAGCAAACTCAATGCATGAACGTTATGCTACCCAGCAATATCGTCCAACATATTTTCTGTCAACAAACACTTTGTCCACTGATTATGGGAAAGATGCACACTAGAAAAAGTCTTCAGAAAAAAATAAACCGTCACCACCAGGACTCGAGCCCGGACCCTCGCTTAAGGGCAGCGATGCTCTGACCGCTGAGCTATGGTGAAATCGTCATCACAGGGCCAGCAGAGACCGTTACAGCTCTTCCTCAGACTTCATGGTATAATTGTTAATAGTAAGTAGTATTTACCTTTCACGATCTGGCCCTCCAAACCTATAGACAGCGCCAGTAAATAGGATGCTGCAGAGAAGCCAAAGATTAAGGTCTGGGTGAGAATCAGGTGAACTGAGCATACGCAGTATCACCTTGGCCCTCTAGTTTTAAGTGTAAAGACACAGATAGAGCTTTTTCGTGTGCGTTAAGTACGTACAAAACACCCAAGTGGTCAAAGTGGCTCGTAGCACGATTGGAATATCCCTCTGCTTCAAATCAGAAGATGAATACGGTAACTTTTTTGGGGTTTATGGTCTTAGCCACTCCCACCTTGGCTAAGAGTTTCAGAGAGAAAAAAAAATGATAGCAGGTCCTTTACGCAGAAATGAAAGGAAACCTGTTAAGAAAATTAACTACGCCAACGTCTTTACCGGCAAACTTTACAGAATGCGATGAAGGAAATTCATATTAATTTTATGAGTCTTGCTTGTTTCAACGGAGCACACAACTGCCTCTTTTTCAAGTTCAGGCAAAAGCAACACATTATCATTGGAAACCGGGGTACGATAGAAAGAAAGAGAGGAAATTTATTTGTAGAAAATAAATAGGACATATATTGAAACGAGTTCAGGGTAACTCTCCACCACTGTAAATAGATACTATATACAGGGTTTGGAAATTTATTTATTTATTTATTTTATTCCGAGCAATACATGCCTGGGGTAGCCAATGACCACTTTGCGTGGCGATTGCGGGGTTTTTATAGCCAACCACGGCTAACAAGGAAAAGAGTAAGAAGTCAAAAAGAAAAGGAAAAGAAGAAAGAAGCAAATATGGACTGAAATTGTGGTCTACTGGTAAAGCAAGGCGTTCCTGAATGCTGCTAAAGTAGAAACGCTCTTTGTCTCCTGGTGCAGCTTAAGCCAATGCAAATAGCTATTGAAAAGGGGGGAGTGTAGCAATGCAGACGAGCGGGCTAGAGGAAGGGAGAGTTGGCTCCTAGTGGAGGTATCCCGTCGGAATCAGTCAAATAGTTTAAGATAATATGCGGCGGTATTTTGGAAATGATGGGTGGCAGAAAGCAGCGTTTTAAGAATGAAAGTTGCCCTCGCTGATAGGCAGGTAGGATATAAAGATTTTGTTACTGCATTACTCAGAGCGAAGCCTCCCAAATGTGTCTTGCTGTCGTGGTGATTAGATGCATATTCCTTATTGAAAATTACTAAAATTTCTTCCGCTTTATTTTCACTGCATTCGCTGCTTCCAGTTGTGCAGGGCAAATGATGAAAGAATGCCTGTATCTCCCACTTACCTCCAAGCGTCAGAAGCCAATCTCTGCCAGCACGTCTGCCTTCCATAGTTTCCAAGACACAGTGGGAACACTCCTGCAATCGAATTACAAGTGTACGCGTAGGTTGAACTCTGTGATATCAACGACTACGCGTGTCTCTACTTCTAGAAGGAGGCTTTGCACGAAAGTATCATGCGAATGAGCGCTGTGCTGTAATGTTGACGTGTTCCTCTTGTAACCAACTGGTATTAGAATGCAGCAATGTTTCAACTGCTGAAAAACAGTGCATTCCAGCTGCTCCCAGTGGCTTCCTTTCATCCCTCTTCATTCACCATTTGACAGGCATGCTACTTTGAACATATGGTGAATAAACAGCAACACTCATGGATGTCATTAATCGCTCTGAAGTTCATGTTCGAGAACCAGGAACATGAAAAAATAATATTGTAAACAAGTAAATCCATGAAGTTGGTTGCTCCAACGAGGAGCACACGCTTCTTGCTTCTTGAATGTGCTCGTCGTTGGAGCAACCAACTTCATGACTATTACCGCCAAAGTCGCAACTTCTAAGTAAGGAAATCCATGTGCGTTTAAAAGGTATCAACTAGATTCAGCATCTGCAATATTCAGACGGCGAATTTTGCTGGTTTGCTTCTACGAACATACGCCACCGTCTGTCGTCCAATACCTCCATAAAAACTTACCTCGGCCTCCCGCAAGCGTGAAACGGGGATAAATGGCGGCTTTGAGCAGCACAGCCAAGTTATCCCACGACTGCACATGTTGGTCACAAGTTCGTCACGCGGCAGGCGCAACTGATGAATACAAATATAAAATTTCCGAAAATAGCGGATGTAAAAAAATAAGTTGAAGTGGCCACTTTGCCTTTGCCTTGTGTCAGCAAAGCAAAATCCTTGTCAAACCCTTCCGTCATCCAGTTCGTCAAGGTGACTCAGGGTTGGCTTTTCTCCCCTCCCTCCCTACAATTAGACATGACATGTTTTGTGCGCCGTGACGAGGTCGCAAGGAGGGTCAAATGCATTTGCCTCTCAGTGGTGTGCTGTACAGTCTCAGTGTTGTAACAGCTGTATATTGTTGTGTGGCCGACCCGCCTGTTTGAAGTTGCCTGGCGTGGGCGGTCAGCTGTGTCTGTTATATCATTGTGTTTCTGTTTGAAGTTGCCGGGCCACAATGTGGTTGACCCGCCTGTTTGAAGTTGCCAGGCATGGGTGGTCTGTGTATGTCGTATCGGTGTGTTTCCGTTTGAAGGCGCGGGGCGACCATGCTGAGATCCGGGATGTGACAGCCACTCTCCTTTTTTTTCTTTTTTTTTTACATTGCACATACCTACGGAAGAAGGGGGAGACAAAACGAAGACGAAACAAAAAAGACAACAATGGGTGTGTAGGCGCTACATGAGCTGCGCTGGTGAGATGCAGTGGACTCCCCCGACCAAGGGTCTCGCGATCGGCGTACATAGCAAGCACCATGGGAGAGGGGGGGGGAGAGAGGAATGGCGGAGAGAGAGAGAGAGAGAGAGAGAGAGAGAGGGAGAGAGAGAGAGAGAGAGAGAGAGAGAAAGAGAGACAGAGAAAGAGAGAGAGTGAGAGAGAGAGAGGGAGAGGGAGAGGGAGAGGGAGAGGGAGAGAGAGAGAGAAATAGGGAGAGAGAGACTTCAAGAGACCTGTTACAATGTCTCCATTGAGCCACTGCTGCAGCCACTCACTGAAGAGAAAATGAGATACAGGTCTGCTATTGTGGAGGAGCATGCGCGGCTTGATGTAGTGGTCAGTGGTTTATGGGGCAGTCGTTTTGAGCGTACTTTAGTTGATATACGGGTTTTTAATCATCATGCGCGCTTAAATCGATCTGCACCACACACCACTGTCTATCGGCGCCATGAAAAAGAAAAGCGACGATGTTATGAAGAGAGAGGGAGAAAGGTGGAGCATGCGACATTCATGCCTGTTGTACTGTCGGCAAGTGGCGGCATGGGAAGAGCGGCGACATCACTCTATCGCCGAATCGCGTTATTGAGAGCGGAAAGGAGGAAGGAGCAGTACTCCCACGTAATATCTTACATCAGATCCCGTCTCTCATTTGCCCTGTTGCGATCATGCATCATGTGTTTGCGGGGTTCACGGGGTCTTTTCCGTGAGCGATCGGTTCGGAATCCGGAGTCTGCTGAGCTGGTTGTTGCTGAGGCCCAGGTTGCTCGCATGTGAGAATCCATAAATTGCAGCAGATTATTTTTTATTATTAATACTGGACATGGATATTGAATTAAACTGTACTCAGTGACTTTTTACATTTTACAGGCTACGTTTTATTTGAATCGTTTGCAGGCAACCTGCCTACCCTCAAGAGAGCACTGCATTTCACACAAATCCATTGGTATCGTTACAACGTTTCGGTCTTTATGACCATCATCAGGAAAGAAGTGGACATGGAAAGAACAGCAGTATAAAAGAATGAGGCAAGCAAGCAAAGAGCGGCACATAGTGACAGCGCGCGTAGAGAAGTGCAAAGCACTTCATGGCGGGTGTGCATTACTACATATACATGACAACACAAGCACAAACGGCGAGGAAAGTAGATACTGCGCTACACCAGTGATACAAGCCCAGTTCCAGTCTCACACCACCAGTGAGGTGTGTAGAGCCCCGCGCCACTCGCAGTAAACACGCAGTAAATAACAGCTGTATTCAATGCCGGCAAAGCGCACAGGTCAGTACAACACCATAACATGCATGATGCTAAAGGTAGCTGAGCAAGAAAGATGATTGCAGACCATAGTAGAATGTGGAAGAGCATACTCCATAACAGGTGGTAGCCAAGGCACGTGAATGCATGCATTGCCCACACACATGTGCCGAGCGTATCTCCCAGAACGCATGCTAGAAGCCAATAAGGCCAACCAGGTGGTGTTATAGCAGGTCCCAGCCACTGTTGTTGTTGATTTCCGGGGATCGCTCCCTGATGTTGATGGCCTCTCGGATCCTCCTCCTGGGGCGGTCACGCTGAGAACCAAGAACCCGGATACCTGAGAAGGCTGTTGCTCCCAATGGCAATGGTTCAAATGCATGCTTGGCTGCGAAATGCTCACCCAGCGCGGTGCCGCTCACTGTGTTGCGTGCTTCGTCGTTGTGTTCTTTTGTCCTGGTGGCGAGGGTGCGGTACGTCTCTCCGACATATGTATCACCACATTTGCACTCGAGGTGGTATGCGACGTTTCGCTCTGTGCATGCTTCTGAACCGGACATGCAGGTGACACAAGCAGCTTTGGGCCGCCCCCGTTTACGTGGCTTGGACGGGTCTACATACCTGCGGCATGGTGGTTTGCGGAGGGCAGACGTGCAAATCATAGAACTTAGACGGCGGTTCCTGTAGATCAGCTAGGCATTTATCTTGTACTTCCGAAGTAATTTATGAATTTTGTTGTGGATATACTAGGTGTGAAACGGT